TTACAAAAGTCCTGAGCGACACACACCGTTGGATCGCAACCTGCTTGTATTGCATTATGAATTGCCGACCTGTGATTCAGTTGTGTTCGTATTTCATTTCTAAATAAAATTACAAGCATGGGAGCCTAAAACAAAAAAAGCATAGAAAATATGTTTATTTAGAGTAGAGAAATATATTTTACTTGATTCCATGGTGGTTCACGAAGAGATACGGTTGGCTGTCCCACAACGCGCGTCAATAATAATTCATAATTACACTGGCCTTGACGGAGTCGTTCAAGTAATTGAAGATATCGTGAGTCTTCTGTTCGAATCTGTTGAGTAAGTTTGACCACACAATTCATTTGTAGAATTAAAGAACGTGCAACACGTAGTTGGGTTTCTTTTTATTTTCCGGCGAAAAGTCAGTGTGTAATGGAGCATCGTATACTGGCCGGTACTGTAAATAATCACCGAATGGAATTTGTGGATCGGCATGTTTAGCGGCACAAAGAATTCGATTGAGTTTTCCAAGTAAAGTCAAACCAACCAAACTCATTTCATCAATCAATAGATATTCCACAAGTGTCCATTCTTTTTCAAGTTTCAAGTCGCCTGGTTTAATAGTTCGTGGCTTTCCAGAATTGCGTTGTTCACCTAAGAATGAATGGATAGTCGGCACTAGGACAATTCGTCGCCATGATAATATTATTAATTGATAGCGTTACATATGTATTTCAATTAGTAGAAAAGTACATTATCATCAATAATCTCGATCTTGACACTACGTGGAACCTAATAATCTAATGGTATAGGGAACAAAAAATATGGGTTATTTCAAAACGTAACGCACAATGTTTCGGAAGTACCCAAGTATGAAATACAGAACTTAAATACCGAAAGTACTAAGTCTTTTAACAAAGAGCATTACTGAGCTACTCATACGAAAAAAATTGAATCCTATTTATATATTGATGAATTTTTCAATCTCATGAACCAAGCAGAAGTTCACGGAAACTCTGACTGGAAAAGTTCTACATGATAGTGAGTGATTTTTATCGTAGTTCATTCAGCAAATATTCGGTTCATTTTCTCAAAATATATCTGTTGCAAACTAGCTAAAATCAAAATAGTATTGTAGCGTTGTATTATACAGAATAAACTACCGAATCTTATGAGTTTATGATGGAGTTCGCTTTTCATTAAAAAATGTATTAGTATCTGAAACTATTTTAATCAGCAGGGTAAAATATTTAGTAGGTTTTTGTTGCATCCGTTTCATTGCATGTCGTGCATTTTTTTACAAATGAGATTTTTATGTTTTATAGATCCATTGATCCCCGTGCAATGTTTACGTCTTTCTCTCTCTCTCTATCTGTACATTATGTTAATCTTCACTCTAAAAAAAATTAGTGCTCTACTGAACCCTCAAAAAAAGTTCCGTGGTTACGAAAAAGTCTCCAGACAGGTTCACGATTACAAAAACGCAATAAAAATTTCTACGGAGCCATTAAAGGATCTTCCCGTGTATCGGAGGGAAGAACCTTCTACTGCTAAACCTTTTTTTAAGTTCAGCAAACCGA